CAAGGTTTCAAACGCTATTGCTTCCGTTCATGTTATGAACAATCAGGTCGTCAGAGCCAATGGGGTGGTCAAAATCCTCTTCGAACAGAACGTATACGTATGGACTGACCGACGATTATTTCGACCACTCAGGAACCCTGGGACGCGAAAAGTGAGACTTCTTGTTCAGGCACCGCCCCTTTAAGAGCACATCCCGCCCATCGCAAGCGGCGCTTTGCTGGGATCAGGTATGGTTCACACTCCTTAAACAACGCATAACCAAACTTAACCCTTTCTACTTCCCAGATTATGCATGCTACAGGTGGGCTTTACTAGACCACATCTTAACATACCTTGATGACCATTTCTGGAAAAAGGAACTGTGAGAGCACATGCAAAACGAAGCAGATGCCATGGCCAGTGTATGTCACGGCGATGTAAATTACCGCGTCTCTTGCGGTTACATTATCATTGCCCAAGTTTGCGCAAAATTGAGAACGCAAATCGCCATGATGTTGCGCTCCCTCTCACATTAGTCATGCAAAAAAACAGCATTCAGTATTCTTTATTGACTCAAACATTGCAGTAAACATCGATCAATGAACATTTTTCAAATGGCATAATAACTGACAGACTAACAGCGGTCATAACAGGGCACAGTATGGCAGAACAAATCAATATTCATTTTTTTACGCATTGAAATTTCACCAGTTAATATCAGATGCATCGGATGTTATTGTCCTTGTGGGCAATAAGAAACACTGGGAGGGTTGCGGATGGGGGGGGGGGATGGGGGTGGGAGCAATGACACCACAATGATACTACGCAAAAGCCATATTCTTTTTGTGTACGCTCTCCTACTCATAAAGGTTTGTTGAAATATGATTGGGGGTAGGCGACGGGGACAGCATCGGTAGTGGCAGAAGTGACGGTATTAAACAGTCCCTCCCAAGTGTATTCCTCCGTTACGATCCCCTCTCCCTTTTTACTTCATACCACCACTCATTTTCCTAAGTTTCTCCTACTTCCTAGTACTTTGCGCCAGCTTCTCGAAAAACCTTCAAGTTTTCTCGCAAAAAAACTGCCCTGTCAGCCGGGGGAGAGGGCGATGAAAATTTGCCACCAAAGAAGTACCATTTTGAACTATCAAAATATAGGACCTAGTCTTGCTTATCATTCCCCTCCCCCCCCCCTCCACCACATACGAAATCTTAGGCCTCACAAGTACGCAACGAAAGTGCGTCTCATTTATTGAATTTTTTCAGCTTTCACTGAGCTATATGGGTCCTGATCCCTGGAATATTGGAGAGCTGTTCTGAACACAAATTGTACATAATTTTCAAGAAACAAGGTACTTAGAAATGGAACATCACGTTGAAACATCAGAAACATCAGATCATCACTACCCGGAATAATCTAGTGGTATAGCGCTGCTTAATACAACTCATAACCCGAACAAGTCAGCCAGCTCTTTGTCATCGTTTGCACACAAATGGCCTGGTAACCAAGCAGAATGCGTCCGTCCATTCACCATTTGACAGCATTTCCACACAGTTCTCGTCATGACCGCTATTGTCCGGTTGACCTGCAAGGGAATAAAATATTGATCAATGAAATAGACCCCTAAAAGAGCGGGCAGGACCTCTGGCGCGGGGCCTAGTGTGCGGCAAACCGGGCTACCATTGAGTCCACGTACTGGAAGCAGGGCACCTCCTGTCGCTGGAGAAAAGCTTTGCAGAATACCACCCCTTCCGAACTTCCTTCTTTGGTACGACCTCCTTCCCCATCCTGCCTACCATCTTATTGAAGTTTCGATTCCCGACTTTCTAGGACTTTTTACGATGTTCGGAATTTTCCTAAAATTTTCCACATTTCCCTCGAAAAGCAGTCGTCGAATGCAGAGGGGGGAGCTGAATACGGCAAATGAGAAAACCGTGAGAAGTCAACAACCGGAAATAATTTTCCCGCGCATGGAAGAATTTTCTTGAGGCCGGATACGACTTCCCTCCAGAAGCGACGAGCAACTACGGCTGCAAGGGTGGTATGGAGGTTCTTGTAAGGACTGTTCCGCAATTACCTATAAGCTCCGGTAGAATAGTTGCGATATGACCCCCATAAGGACCTTGAAATCACAAGGATGTCCGAATGTTTCAAACCTCAGAAGTTCGTGCGGTGGATACTGTAGAACGGCATCTACGTCAAATCTACTTTTCGTCGACTTTCTCGTTTTTTTTTCGAAATAAAAACTGGCACAGCTCTGCTTGGTGGGGTATCAAGGAGGTACACGCGAAGCCTGCTAGGCCGCCTTGTCATGCGTGTAATTCGTGTATCCAAGGCGGCTTATATGCATCATTGCGTAGCCTTACAAGAGTTTACAGATCTCACCAAAACAAATTAGCGAAGTTGCAGAATGCCCTTCCCAAGTCAAACAGCGCTCACAAACTAATTATATATTGGTCTGTAGTGAGAATAAGCACGCTCATGGATGATTCTGTTCTTGTTTTTCAGTTATAAATGTTCTTTTTTTATACTTTTCATTCGGAAAACGTGCGCACGGATACGTGAGTCATAGTACGAAATGAAAAACGACAAGGCAAAAAATTGTCGGAAACTTCAGATGAGTCATCATCATCATCACTAAGTGCACATCCTTCGTAACATGGTCTTTTCCGACATGCTTTAGAAGAGGGAACGGGAGGGGTAGTGAGGGGAATGCACTGCGTTTGACACGAATCCATAACAATATATCAAGTTGTGTACGAATAAATCGTGATTTTTTTTGCACATCAGTTTTCAACTTACTGTACGTGTACTACTGATTTCATTTTATATTGCTGCACATATTATAATTCTGAAGCATATTAAACGGTCTTTCGTTTTTGATTTTCGTTGGTTCAAATTTCATTTTCGAGAACTTCAAATCAAATGTCTAAGATGCTCCCTAACAAGGGAGGTCATTCGGGTCGTGGCGCGCTTTTAGAAATGCATGTTGTAGGGATCCATATAGGGATCACAGGAATGGGTTTCGTTTTTGCTATGCGTTCCTGGGAATGCCACAAAAATGAGTGAAAATTTGCTAAACAGAGGCAATTTGGAGCCATTTTTCTCTTTTCTATTTCTAATGTTGAGTATGCATAGAAAATGAGATCTTCGTCGACTCCGCATTGAAAACAACAAGTTAAGGTGAAAAAGTACCTTAATTGGCACACAATGAGGTAGCACTGAAGTTTCTCAAATGGTCCCTGGCAGTCAGCCCACAGCCCCCCCCCCCGCACCTAGGGGGGGGGGGGGGTTCCAGTACGGCGAATCGAAAAGACATCTGGCCCCATGCTTTCACAATATTTCCATGCGCCTAAACAGCTTTCAGTCGAAGTTTGAACTCATGAAGCAAAATGATCCGCTCCTTAGAGACCATCTTTGCCATTCGGTCGAAATTTGCGAAGAATGAAATTTGAAACAAACGAAAGTCAAAAAACGAAAGATCGTTAGATAAGCTTCAAAATAATATTCGGCAATACAAATATTTGAATAACACACAAAAACAGTAAGTTAAAAGTTGATGTGCGAAAAACGCAATTCGCTTGTTCGCAACTTGAGTTACGTCCACACTCCCCATCGTGACCGACATACTACCCAACCCGCTAAAGAGCTGTCTGCTAGAAACAGTCTCGCCGAAGACTCACAGTCGTCATTCCGGGCAGTTGATTAGGCGGTCGCCAAAGGGTCGCAGACGCGGCTGCAGCAGCGACCGCGTCACGTAGGAACTGTTGGCGGCGATCAGCTGTTTCCAGCCTGGTTTAGCCATTTTCTCCCTAATTTTCACTGTATTTTCTATTTTTTTTCATGGCAAGTTGGTTTTGTGAAATATCAATCATGATTTACCTTGTGAAGACAAGGAACAACTAACCTTGAGAAAAGCAGCCAAAACAGTGAAAATTAGGGAGAAAATGACTAAACCAGGCCGGAAACAGCTGATCGCCGCCAACAGTTCCTACGTACGCGGTCGCTGCTGCAGCCGCGTCTGCGACCCTTCGATGACCGCCAACTGCCCTAATGACGACTGTATGCAACACTACTTTGCTGATCAGTTTGAGCTGCCTTGAGAACTCTATGGGGGAAACGAATCAGTACATCTCCTTATAAAGAACTGATGTGATTAGTCGGCGTTTGTGTTGGTCAGTTGGGCGGCACAGTGTTATATAACCTATAACCCAAACATGACTGGTCAAAGGAACGGCATATTCATCACATCCGCTTTCTGCTGGTTGTTCCTTGATTTTCCGGTGCACTTTGTATGAATGTATCATTTGTATGAATGCAGGTGGCACATTAGGTTCGTGATGACTTTCACGCACCTTTCTTGAAGTGTTTAAAGACCAGCGGACTGCGATCGGAATTCACAAATGTGTTCTCCCTGTGCACGTCGTTCACACCAATCCACGCACTATCACCTCGTAGAAGACCTGGAAGTTACGGTTTGAAGCGTCGCATAGCCATTGGGAAAGTTGGATTTAACTTGACTTTGTCAAAGTTCATAGAACGCAATTTGTTAGGGGGAGCAGCTTCAGACTTCACGATGACACGTTACGTCGCGCTTCGTCACGTCACTATTGCCATGGTGCTCCAGTGCTGTAGACCGATACGCAGCCATAGTATGATATCAACAGGCGCTAGCCGCTAGTATTTTGAGAAAATGTAGGATAATAGGAGGAGTCTATTCAGACAGTCTGGTATCGATCGATGCCGGCTGCCAGAGTTGTGGGAGAGTATACAAGATGGGAGGGTACCCGATCGTGTGAGAAGGCGAATCGTACCCTCTCATTCTTCTGTACTCTCTCAGAACGCCAGCGGTTGGCGCCGTTCACGCTGCGATACGCGTCTATGGCTGTGTTTCCGTGTATAACAATGGAGAGCTATTGCAACGATAGCGCGTCAAAGCGCATCACAGGGCGACGTAACTTATATTTCGTGGCGACCGCGAAGTCTGAACGCAACCCAAGAGATATTTCAGTACGACACCACACGATATGACCCATAACCCCGAACAAACATGCTCATAATTGTACCTCGAACAAACTCGTTTTCCTCGAGATCTGAGATCGATGCCAGATGACCTCCCCATTCAAGGCAATCGTCTTCAGCTTTGTACCACGAGTTTTGAATCTATAAAAGTGAAGTTTGTTGAAATCAAGACGTTTTTAGAACTTCCAAATTTATAGGCTCAGTTCTAATGAGCAGGTTCACTACCAGATGAAGAAACGGAGAAGGTGCCGTCCGATGAAAGTGAGGCTGGCGGTAGGTGGGACATTGGTTCGGGAGCAGGCCACATCTTAGAACAAGGGTTGTATTGACTGCTGCGAAGAGAGAATGGGGGGGAGGGGAAGGGAGGGAGCTCAACTGGAAACTGGAAAGAACTTTTGAAAGTTGGTTTTCCCCCATTGATTTTTCCCCTTTTATGCACACTACGCGATC